CTCAAAGCCCCACAGCCGTCCCCACGGCAGGGCTCCAGTGTCCCATGCGTCCTGCCGGCCGTGACCTTTGCCGCAGCTCCAGCCAGGCTGGGCCCTTCGGGGATTTTTTGCTCCAGCCGCTTCCCGCTGGCTCTTGGCAGCACCGGTGCCGGCTGGGGGCGTAGGCCGGGCGGGGACATTTTGCTCCAGCTCCCGCTGGCCAGCACCGGTGCCGGCTGGGTGCGCAGGGCCGGGGCAGGAAACCGCCTGGAGCGGGGACAAGCGGAGACGCTCTTTAAACAAGGGGCTGAGTCACGTGCAGGGATAAACCTGGCGGAGGGGCAGGCAGAGCCACGGCCCCCTGCTCCTGCGCCTTGGCCCCAAGGGGCCTGGGGACCCTCGGACCCAGGCAGAGGTGACGTGTGGGCTGCGGTGCCTGGGTCCTACCCAGGGTGAGGGTTGGAAGGTTTGGGGGGGAGATGCGTTCCCAGAGCCCTCCCCAAACACACCCAGCTGGTCAGGCGCTGCGCAGGTTTATTGGGGTCTTTGCGATCGCGGCGGAGGGGTGCAGGCTGGAGTGGGGTCCCAGCCCTGGGGGTCCGTCAGCTCCATCAGCACGGGGCGACAAGCAGTCCTGGGGAAGGGAGAGAGGCACAGGGGGTGAGGACACCCTTACCAGCACCAAGACTGCACCCCATCACCCCCCAGGAGCACCATGGCTGGGCCCCCGTCACCCTGTCACCTCCCAAGCACCACGGCCAGGCCCCTGTCACCCCCCAGGAGCACCATGGCCAGGCGCCCATCACCCCCCAAGCACCACGGCCGGGCCCTTGTGACCCCCCAGGCACCACAGCCAGGCCCGTCACCCCCAGGAGCACCACGGTTGGGACCCCGTCACCCCCCAAGCACCGTGCCGAGCAGGCAGCCAAGGGCAGGGCACTCACCCATCACGCCGGGGCAGGCAGGGGGTGCCGGGCGTCCCGTGGCGTCGGGGCAGGGGAGCCGTTCCCTAGTCCAGCAGCTCGTGGCCAGCTGCAGAGCAGGAGGTAGACGCACTCCCGCAGCAGCCGCAGCAGCCAGGAGCCCAGGCGCAGCCCCAGGGAGGTCTCGGCGGGTGCCGGCAGTGCCACTGCCCGTGCTGCTCGCCTCGCAGCGCCCGGCGGACGGGCCGCCGCGGTCCGGAGGAAGCGCATGGCTGACGAGGGATCAGCGGGGTCTGACGCAGGGCGGCAGCCGCGCCGACACATGGGCCCCTGGCAAGCGCTGGAACCTGCCCCATTCTCTGTGCTTCAAAAGCCTCCACAATAGTGGGCGCGGGGAGGGGGCACTGCCCGGGGACCCTTTTGTTCAGGCAGAGCTGGCCTCACCCCCCCATCCCGCTCCTGCCAGAGCCCCATGGGGCCCGAAGAGACTGGCATGGCCAAGCGCGAGCGCAATGCAGACTGCAGGCTGAGCGCAGCAAGTTTATTCAGTGCTGGCAGGCAGCAGGTTTATTCAGTGTCATCCCCAGCAGCGCCAGGGACGTCTGCAGGGGAGCCGGCCGCCAGCAGCGTCCCAGCAGAGCCTCCCCGAACACCGCCAGGCGCCAGGGACGTCTGCAGGGGAGCCGGCCGCCAGCAGCGTCCCAGCAGAGGAACACAGCCCGTGGACCTTCAGTGGCGGGGGGGGCGCGCGTGTTCCTCGTTTCCAGCTGAGGTGCGCTCGTCTTCCTCGTTTTCCAGCTGGTAGGCGGGCCGGTAGCTCTCCCGGCCCCGGGCGTCGGTGTAGCGCAGCGCCGGGTTCTTCAGCGTGTTCGCCATGCTCCCCAGGGAGGTGTAGCTGCAGAGGGAGAAGACGGCTGCAAGGCTGCGCCCAGGGGCATCAGCCGTGCTGAGCAGGGAGGGCAGCACCAGACACTCACCCCTTGTCATAGAGGACACAGTAGGGGACAAAGAGCTTGCGTAGAAACTCCCAGATGTCCCGGTAGGACCAGTCCTGCAAGTGGAATTGGGCAGAGATTGCTGCAGAGGCAGGCGGGCTGCCCCCTCACCCCCAGGGAAGCCAGCTGGCCCCCTCCAAGAGCACACAGGAAAGCCAGCTGGTCCCTGGCGCCCCAGAGCACCCCCGTCCCTCCCAGTGCCTCCCCAAACACAGGAAAAGCCCCCAGCGGACAGGACGAGCCCTGCCTGACAGCATCAGGCAGCCTGGCTGCAGCGAGGGGCACCCACAGCCGCGCAACGGGGCAGGAGATGCTCTGAGGAGAGGGGGAATTGGGAGGGAAGCTCTCCAGGGTGGCGGTGGATTAGTGCTGGCTTCCAGCCCCATCACTTTAACCTGCCAGGCTTGCTCCCCTGCCGAGCGGGGACAGCCCCATCCCCAGAGCAGGCGGACGCCACGTACCAGCAAAGGGTTCACCCGCATGTACTGAGGCCAGTCAGGGTCCGTCATGCACATGGGCATCAGGGTGCGCGAGTAGGGGTCCGTCCGCCGCGTCCCCATCAGGACGGCCTCCAGCTGCGGCTGCTGCTCCTTCAGGCGGGCCAGGGCCTCCCGGATGGAGCCCTCCACCATGCAGAGCTGGATCTTGTACCTGTGCAGACAGGACAGGCAGCTGCCTGCCGGGCTGCAGGAGACACTGCTTGTCCCCCTGCCTGGCGGCCCACCCCTCTCTGCCCCGTACCTCTGGACAGTCACCTGGATGAACTGCTCCATTTCGGGGAAGGGGGACACGATGCGGATGTAGAGCACCTGCAGCTTCTCCTGCCTCGCCGGGTACCGCCTGGGGAGAGACCCGTCGCAGCTGGGCTCTGGCAGCCGGAGGCAGGGCAGCCGCCCAGTCCCCATGAGCTGGGCCCCAGGAATCTGCTTGCTCCCCTGGAGCAGGGCAGGGGAGAGCCCTGGAGCCCCAGCCGGGGCCTGCGGGACCCCCTCAGCCCTGCCCCAGGCTGGGCCGGTGAAGCCCCGCAGCCGGGTACCTCTCCACAGCGGCGTGGACGAGGTGCAGCAGGGCTGTGCAGTCCTTGCCCCCGTTGAAGCCCACGCAGAGTTGGGCCAGGCTGTACCGGTCCAAAGCCTCCTCGATGGTCCGCAGTGCTGCTGCCACCTTCTGCCCCAGGGCCGAGCCTGCTGGGAGGGGATGGTCGGTGCCCATCCGGGGCCACGTTGCCTCGGTGCTGCCCCAGGACCTGCGGCACCTCACCCTCCGGGCACCTCTTGTCTCCAGACACACGGCGAAGCCACTGCTGGTACCGTAGCCTGGAGCCAAGAGCTTGTGCAACCTGCAGGTCTGTGCCACGGATGGGACACAGGGATCCTGCCTACATGGGAGAACTGCGGCAGCGCTCCCCCTAACGCACACTGCGCTTTCAGAGACCGGCACCGGCCAGCCCTAACTGGGATTATGGGTCCCACTCCCACCTGCGTGGGACGAGGCCCATTGCAGCTGTGGCACCAGCAAAGCCTCAGCACCCCTCAAGCCCCCCAGCACACCAGAACAGGCAAGCTCTGCTCCCAGGCCGGTCTTCCCACTGCCCCGGCCCTGCTGGGCTGCAGGGTCTGCACAGGAGCAGCATGGAGGCACCAAGCTGTGCTGCAGCACCGCTTCCCTGTACCTGACTCAGCCAGACCATAAACCTCCGCGGCTGCTGGCGAGATGCAGTCCATCACCAACGGCACGACAACGTGCGGCGGCAGCTTCTCCATCAAGAAGTGATACGCTTCCTCCAGGTCCTGCTCCGACTCCGAGTCCAACGTCAGCTTCACGCGGTAGTAGTTGTTGGCCCAGTCTGGGTAGGAGCCCAAGCTGACGCGGCCCTGGAAGGTGGCGTTGGCCTGATCCAGCACAGGCGTGATGAGGATCTCATCAGCCGCCACATAGATGGCACGGGAGTGGAAGCGGGTCTGCTCGCTGCGGAAGAGGTGGGCAAGGCCATCCAGGGCGCGTTCCATCAGCGCCGGGATGCCGGGGAAGACGTAGACGTTGCGCACGCTGACCAGCGGGTACTCGAAGGTGCCACCCGCGCCGTAGTTGAGGCAGGAGGACTCGGGGACGCGAGCCAGCTTCATCTCGGGGCACTGCGCGTCCGTCTTGCCGAAGAACTTGTGCACCAGGGCCACCAGCTCGGGGTGGGGGGCGACCTTCTCCCCGAAGGCCCTGGCCACTGCCTCGAAGGTCACGTCGTCGTGCGTGGGGCCGATGCCCCCCGAGGTCAGCACGTAGGTGAAGCGGGCGGCGAAGGCGGCCACCTCGCTGGCGATGGCGTCCACCTCGTCGGGCACCACCGAGATCCGGGCCACCCTCACGCCCAGGGCGCGCAGCC